GTCATGGAACGAGCCGTTACATCACGTAGGTAAAAGCGAATAAATGAGCAGGGTGTTGACCATGCAGCCGCAGTGCAAATGTCCTGCATTGACATACCATTATGCAGAGCAGTCCAAGATGCGATATCCCTGGTCGAGTGTGCTTAGAGGTTGACAGGAGGCCCTAAATCTGATGCTCTGTAGGCTTCAGAAAAGGCCTCACACAGCCAGTGTGACAAGCGCTGGATGGATAACGGCGACCTGCAGAAGCATCTCTATAATGCACAAACAATTGTTGAGTTTGAAACGCATTGCAGCTGTGCGCGTTATGTAACACGTCAACGCCCGCACCGGGCAGAGAAGATGAAAAGATGCTTCCTCTTCTGATCTGTGGGGGGGAAAGAGACCCCTCCAACGATATCACTCTTGATTTAAAAGAGCTCGTGATGTTTTAGGCATAAAAGCTGGGTTGGTCTTAAATCAGCTGAGCTGCCCGTCAGCCTAAATTCTAAGGCATGACGAAGCAACAGAGAGGGCAGATAATTACTTACCCTCTTAGCGGGTGTTAAAGCCAGCAGCAGGGCTGTTTAAAAAGACAAGAATTTTAAGTGAAAACCTGATCCAGAGGCTCAATTGGAGCTTTGATCAGGGCTCGCAAGACCAGCGTTAAATCCCACTGTGGAGCAAGTGGACGTGAAGCAGGCCTGTGTCTCTGAACATCTTTTAGAAAAACGCTTCATCAGCGGGTGATTAAAAGCTGTTCTGTCTCCGAAACCTTCGTGGCAGGAATAGATGACTGCAACGTACGTTAAAGCGTACTGAATGCCAACTCCCTATCCATCAGCTGTTGTAGAAAAACAACACGCCGCCTAAAAGGCATGAGGTGGCCTCTAAACCTTCTCTGTACACCAGCGCTGAAAAGCCGTCCCCTTTGATGTGTACAGAACTGTGGTAGATGCAGCACGTGAATCTTGAATTGTGCACACTGAATCCTGAGGGAGACCCATCCTCTAAGTGGGACCGCTCAGCGGTCAGACCCACAGGTGCTGACCTATTTCTGGGTAACTCTTGGTCGCTCCTCCTGCCTGAAGGAGAGCATCCTCCCTCCACGGCAGTTCCACGGCGACCCGACAACAGACGTTGTAGGCCTGGGAACCATGGTGCGTTCACACGCCGGGAGCCACCAGGAGAGCTGTCAATCCCTCCTCCTGAACCTCGGTTCAGGAACCGTAAAAAACAGAGGAGGTGGGGGAAAAAACGCGTACAAAAGCGTTTTGGGCCACGGGCTGTGAGCAAATGCGTCCCCCCCCAGCGATGGATCGTCTCGCGGGCTCAGGGAAAACCATAGTTGACACTGAGCATTCTTCTCGCGTCGCAAACAGGTCCACAGCTGCTTTGCCAACTTCTGCTACGTCTGAAAACATCAGATCTGGATGGAGGGTCCGGTCCACGTGACGTGGGCCGCCCCTGGACGTCCCATCTGCCCCTCTGTTCAGAACACCGGATATGTAAAACCGCTCTAATAGAGAGCAGGTTTTGATGAGCCCAACACAGTAGCTTTCGCGCAATGTGTAACATCTGGGCTGAACGCACACCCTTTGATGGTTATGTACGCAGCAGTCATCATGTTGTCTGTGTGAATCAACACGTGTTGATTCTGTAGCACGGGAGCAAAGTGTTGAATCATATTCAGTGCTGTGCGACACTTCAAAACAATGATGTGGGCTGATGTGTAGTGGGGCCACAGCGCCCCTACTGCTTGAGATAGGCATCCCCCCCCCCCCCCCAGCCTGACAGCAACGTGTCCGTGAAGACTGACCCGTGACGTGGGTCTGCTGAGGGGGACTCCCTCTGACAGAAAACAAGGTGTTTCCCCAGAGTCGGAGGTCTGCTCTCACAGAGGAAGGGACAATGATCATCCGTCGTTGTTTTACTGGATCCACATGCAGAACCACCTCTGGAGGCGTCTCATGTGAAACAAACCAGCGGGACCACTGTGTGAGTGACATCATTTCCAACAGCTTCATGACGGAGACAGCTGTTATCACTTGCCAGGTCTTATGATGACGGGACCGTTTTTATAACTCCTCTGAATGGAGGGGTTCGGGTTGCAAACTGTAACTTGTACCATTTGCATAAAACCTTGTCCATCCATCTGAAAAACGGCGAGCATGTTTTAGCCACTCTACGTAACGTTCGTAGGGTGAATGTGCGTTAAGTGATGTGTCATGTTTTGTACGGCTGTCAGCAGTCCGCCCCTCAACCGCCGTCATGCGTCGCGGGAATGTTTTCTGTGTGATCCCGGGCGAGACTTGAGCTGAGGCGAAGCGTGTGACAGCTGATGACGCGGTGGGGCTGCGCGTTTGACGTCGCTGTGCGAACGTTGAAAAGGCGGAGGGCGTGACTTCATTTACGCCGTGCTGTTGGAGTGAAGGCTGCTAGCCCCGCGGAAGCACACGTTGTTCTCTGGAGGGACGCGCGCCGCTCTCGCTGGAGGGGCGCGCGCTGGAGGGAGGCGGGACTCATTACCGGGTTCTTTCAGCTGCTTCACGTTTAAGCTGCGGTGAGCTGCCGAAAGCTGAGACGCGGTGGGTGACGGCTGCCCGCGTTTGATTCGTTGAGACGGGTGTCGTTTCTTGTGAGAGAGAAGGACCTCCACCCGAACCAGCCTGCGGACCACATTTACACCGATGTGAGCTGGTTAGCGCCGGCAGCTGTGTGTGTGCGCCAGCATCAACGCAGCGCCGTTGGATGGAGGCTGTTCATTTAGTGATCGACTCGTCATGTCTAGAGCGGCGGTGAGTTAAAAACCTTATTTAAGGACACCGGCTCATGTGGAGACTGTTCCATCCTACGAGTGCGAGTTGACACCGCTTGAGTGAGGATCGTGCAGTTCTAGTTGATAACGAGTTATTTTCGCTTACCGTTGTGCCGTGATCGACTCGTCATGTCTAGAGCGACGGTGAGTTTAAAAACCTTTAATTAAGGACACCGGCTCATGTGTGGAAGCTGTTCTGTGATCGACTCGTCATGTCTTAGAGCGACGGTGAGTTTAAAAACCTTATTTAAGGACACCGGCTCGTGTGTGGGGCTGTTTCATCCCACGAGTGCGAGTTGACATCGCTTGAGTGAAAATCGTGCAGCTCGGGATTATAACGAGTTATTTTAACTTACCATTGTGCCCTGTAAGCGACTAGTAATGTCTTGGAGCGGCGGTGAGTTTAAAAAACCTTATTAAGGACACCGGCTCTTAATGTGTGCGGCCACTGCGAGCTCATCCGGGCTTACAGACTGGCTAAAAAACAGACACTTTGATCATTAATGATGATTTATTTCAACTTTCGTGTCACTTTTACACACACCCTCCGGAGACCGTCATTTTGAGAAACTTCTCTCTCATGAGCTCTGCGATTGTTTGCCCAGAGCGCTGTCTTGCAGGCGAACTCTGGGGAAACGCTGAGCTGCAGGTTGCCGGAGTGAAGAGGGCTGGATTCTGACGGGCGGGGCTGGTGGTGGAACTCAGCGAGAGCCGCGGCCGTGGAAAAGTCGAAGCTTGCTCGCGACGGTCCCTCCAGCGGGACGGGGTGGGCCGCGCGGCTTGATGAGGTGGCGCACAGCCTCTGGCACCTCCTCCGACTGTTTCACTTCGCCAGCATGGTTTGAAGCTGCTCTGAACAGCGCGTTCGCGATGGGCTCCATCAGGTCTTGTGCAGTTTCTCTGGCAGCGAGGGGAGTAACGAAGCCAGGTGGATCTTTGGATCATCGTCATCCGCGCTGCAGTCCTCGACAGGCAAACCGTGGGAGAGGCACATATGTTGAGCTGGCGTCAGCTGCCTTACAGAGGGAGTTCTTTGTCTCCAAGGCAGGTCTGCGGCCTTCAGTCCCTTGGACATGCTATATGCTAGCAGCGCACGTTGTTGCTAACTGCGGCTGCCTGAAAATACATCGGTGGGCTCGATTGGAGAGCGTGGTCGCCGTCTGGTTCGTGTTCCTCCGGAGGGACGGGACGCTGCTCCGACCTGGGCAGCTTCGCACCGGAAGCTTCCGCGAGGCTTGGCTCCAGGAGGGTTACCGAGGAATAGCCCCGCTCGGTGAATCCCTCAACTCTGGTGATGGGAGCGGACTGGGGACCGACTCCTCCAATCTACCAGGAAAGAACCGTCTGTGGCCTCGCCCGTCGAACGTCCTGTTGGAGCGCGAGGCCGTATGGATCAAGACGGTGAGCCACAGTGGAGCCCAGTGAAAAACAACCTTCCCGCCGATCATCCGAACTGGCGGGAAAAGGCGAGGGACGTAGAAAAAAGGGGGTCCCTTCATGTCAGCCTCCTCCTGGGTTCCGCCGGGCAACCGAGAGGGCGCTGTCGGCCGGGAGCGGTGTGATCGCCGATGCGAAACGAGGTGGGATGGGGTGAGCATTCACTCAGCCCCCCTCCACCTACACTACGCTCCCCAGGAGGGAATGAGCAGCGGGGGCTGCAGCTGAGCACGCCTTGCCGCGGGGGAACCATCCGGTTCGCCCCGAGGGTCGGCGATAAGAGGAAAAAATACAAGATGGCGTTGTCCAGCGTGTAGTGACCTGTCACTGGGAAATGTTCCCAGACGCTTACCTTGGAATAAGACTGCTCGTCATCTTCTCCTCGGGGAGGAGAACTCACCGGACGACCGGAGGTCGACTGCCGGGCCAAGCATCCTTCACAAAGGTTGGTCATTTACACAATTTATCCTCTTTGTTCTTCTGACAGTGCTATATTAGCTCGCTGAAGAAAAAATGGGAGCCGATTTCCCGCTCTTAACGTAATTTATACGGACCGGGTGGGGCCCACACAGCAGGTGGGCGTGGACTAAATTTTTTTCAGTGCTTATGCTCTGCATAACGGGATAAACCCATCAGCGACAGCCTTAAAGGGCGAAGCCTATATGAAATAGAACGGAAAGAGCTTTTGGTCATCAGACCACTTTTTGGAAACTCTTGAGGACTTTTTTTTTTTTAGTTTTATAAAAACTATGTTACCAGTGGTCCTGGGTGGCCAGGTGCTCCATGGTCTCCTTTGTCTCCGTGTCTTCCCCTGTCTCCAGGATGTCCTTCATCACCCTGCAAGTAGGACAGTTATTTGGAGCAGCGGCACCTGACTGCAGGAAACCAGTCCCATATGGAGAATGAGTTGTTGTACCTTCTCCCCAGGAAAATCGTCCCTTCGTACCCCTCTGGGGCCCGTAAACCCCTGAAGTCCAGGCTCCCCCTAGGAATAAAAAAAATGATGAAATACTTATAACAACATGAGTGCTGTGCTTTCTTTGAAGTCAAACATTTCAGACTGATGGATTTGATGAAGCTAAGGGCTCCAGAAATGTAAATGGTAAATGGACTGTACTTATACAGCTCTTTTCTATCTTATCGAGACACTCAAATCTCTTTACAACAATCTGTGCCCTCATTTACCCATTCATACAGCACTCTACTAGATCTATGAAAAGAATAATCAGTTCTTTATCACATTCATACACCTATGGGACACACATTGGAGGCAATGAGGGGTTCAGTGTCTTGCCCAGGGACACTTCAGCATTTGATTGCTGGTGGAATTTAACCCCTAACTCTTGCATTGGGAGACGACTGCTCTAACTACTCAGACACAGTCGCCCCAATGTCATGAGTAAACCACAAGGCAAATGCCATCACATCTGGATTCAGAAAGCCGTCACAAAGGAAACTGAGCAGTTCATAGTTTACATTAGAATATGCTGGTGAAGATTCTCAGTCATCCAGGACATGATGAATTCAAAAAGCGTTCAATACAAAAACAACTGGACTTTATTTGTAACAGAAGACGTTTCGCTCCTCATCCAAGGAGTTTTCTCAATTCAAAGAGCAGTGAGTGTGGGGTTCAGGTTATAAGGCTGAGATAAGATAGACATACATATCTAGATTTGACAAATCATACCTCAACACCTTAACAGTAGGGGTTTCTTAAAGGTCTTTGTTACTCTAATTCACAGATAAGACACCCTCTGTTCCCATCAAGTGTGAAAACTGGCTGAGAATCAGGGTGCATTCACACCAGCTCTGTTTAGTCCGCTTTAATCGAACTCTAGCTCGTTTTCCTAGAAAGTCCGGTTTGTTTGGGGAGGTGTGAACGCGCCATCGAACTCTGTCACGGAAAAAAAGGCAAACTCTGGCCTGGCCTAAAACCTAGGTCTTGGTCCGGTAAAAGAGAACTCCAGCGCGGTTCAAGTACAGTGTGAATGCAAACAGACCGGGCCCCGCTCCACAAGTAAGAAGTGGAGTGCAACGCAGGGCAAACAAACACGCATTTCTCTTACCTTATATGGAGCCGTCAGCTGTCTTGTGTGAAAAACAACATTCTCCATGGTCTTCTGCCTCATCTTCTGCTCATTCTGAGTCCATTTTTGAAAAATGACTAAATATAACTCCTAAAACTGCTAAAACTTGATGCCACTCCGTTTTAGTTTTTATTTCCAGAAGAAGAAGTGTCTTCAGAGGTTTTTGTGTCGTTTCTTTCAGTAGTTCTTGGTGCAGCGTCCCCACAGGCGAGCGAGGGAATAGGTTGGTTCAACAGGTTGGCTCGACTGCACAGTGCAGTGTGAATGCAAACGCAACAGCTCAAATGTAAACAAAATGTCATGAATATTGGTCCCCAACCGAACTGAGTCTACCGGACTATCAGGTGTGAATGCACCCTCAGTCTTAAAGTTGCATTATAAGTTTTTGAAAGTGGAAATCTGAGGCCTCTTCCTCTGTTAGGAGATGTTTTTTTCTCTTTTTACATAAATTGCTTCCTTCACCCCCCTCTCAAACCATCTGTGTTCTCGGTCCAAAATGTGCACATTTTGGTCCTCAAAAGAGTGTCCCTTATCTGTGAGGTGGAGGTGAACAGCTGAGTCTTGTCCTGAGGAACTGGCTCTCCTGTGTTGAGTCATGCGTCCTCTTTTGAGGATCAAAATGTGCACATTTTGGGCCAAGAACACAGATGGTTTGAGAGGGGGGTGAAGGAAGCAATTTATGTAAAAAGAGAAAAAACATTTCTTAACAGAGGAGGAGGCCTCAGATTTCCACTTTCAAAAACATATAATGCAACTTTACAACTGATTCCAAGCCAGTTTTCACACCTGATGGGAACAGAGGGGCCTCATCCGTGAATTAGAGAAACAAAGACCTTAAGAAACCCCTACTGTTAAGGTGTTGAGGTGTGAATTGTCAAATCTACATATGTATGTGTATCTTATCTCACTCAGCCTTATAACCTGAACCCTTCACTCACTGCTCTTTGAATTGAGAAAGCCCCTCGGATGAGGAGTGAAACGTCTTCTGTTACAAATAAAGTCCAGTTGTTTCTGTTTTGAACGTTTTTTGAATTTATCATGTCCTGAATGGGGCAGCACGGTGGCGCAACTGGTAGTGCTGCTGCCTCTCAGCGAGCAGGTCCTTGGTTCAAACCCCGGTCCATGGGCCTTCTGGGTGGAGTTTGCATGCTCTCTCCGTGTATGCGTGGGTTTTCTCCGGGTGCTCCGGTTTCCTCCCACAGACCAAAAACATGCATGTTAGGCTGATTGGTAACTCTAAATTGTCCCTAGGTGTGAGTGAGAGAGTGAATGGTTGTTTGTCTCGTTTGTCTCTATCTGGCTCTGTGATGGACTTGCAACCCGTCCAGGGTGTACCCCGCCCCTCGATTGCTGGACATGGGCACCAGCGACCCCTGTGATCCAAAATGGAATAAGCGGGTAAAAGATAATGTATGGATGGATGGATGTCCTGGATGACTGAAAATCTTCACCAGCATATGAATGTTATGCTACGTTCAGGCTCAAGCTTCCCTTACAAAAGAGGTCTGACTTCTGTGGGATTTGCCTGGTGAAATAAAGGTTAATAATAATAATAATAATAATAATAATGATACCTTTGGTCCCAAAATGCCTTCTCCTGGAAGACCTGACGTGCCGGGTGGGCCAGGTTGACCTGTGGAACCCTAAAGGATATTAAAGGCATAAAAGGATAATGTAAAACAAAAATATGTTTCATAAAGATACATTTTTCATCCACATACTGACCTTTGGACCACCAAGTCCAATTCCAGTATGACCTGAAGGTCCTGGGACACCTGGTAAACCTTTGTCTCCCTGAGACAGAGATCGAGAAAAGAAACAAAACTGTTGACTACTTTTGTCTCTTCTTCAAACTAAATTTAACATTCATTGTATTTGCCTCGGGCAGAACGGTGGCGCAACTGGTAGAGCTGCTGCCTCTCAGCGAGCAGGTCCTTGGTTCAAACCCCGGTCCAGGGGCCTTTCTGGGTGGAGTTTGCATGTTCTCTCCGTGCATACGTAGGTTTTCTCCGGGTGCTCCGGTTTCCTCTCACAGACCAAAAACATGCATTTTAGGCTGATTGGTGACTCTAAATTGTCCCTAGGTGTGAGTGAGAGAGTGAATGGTTGTTTGTCTCGTTTGTCTCTATGTGGCCCTGTGATTGACTTGCGACCTGTCCAGGGTGTACCCCGCCCCTCGCACAGTGATTGCTGGACATGGGCACCAGCAACCCCCGTGACCCAAAATGGAATAAACGGGTAAAGAAAATGGATGGATGGATGGATGGATGTATCTGCCTCTGAAAGGATTAGCCGACATTCACCTTGATTTATCCTAACCCGTTATCCCTTGCTGTAAATTTACAGTTACAGTAGGTACTAAATAAATTATCAAAGAACCAAACATTTTATTTATGGTATGTGAGTAAAAATGTAAAGCATTAAGGGAACATTATTTTGGCATCAGACTCTAAGTTATTGTATTTTTGTGTATTTGCAGTAATTTACTGTGATCATATGCAGCACCTGGTATGTTACTGATGTTCTCCGATGGTCTTTATTCTAGTTTTATAGTCAAACACAAATTTCCCAGTAAACATGAACATTTTCTCAATAGGAACGTAAATGCTTGGCATTATAGATACCATATTTTTAGGTGTTTAAGCCATGTTTTTTTGCAAAATGTACATGCTCTGCGACTTGTAGGCCGAAGCAACATATCGATGGATTTTTTTCCCCATATTTATAAACCTTTTTTTTTTTTGGCTGAGATATGACCGTTTTCATTCATTCTGACTGGAAAAAAAAATTCAGCAGTACCAGTTTCAGCCTCTTGATGGCAGCAGAGTAGTAATAGCAGTGTGGCATGCTGTTGCATCATGTGATAGGTAAAACATGGCTATAATGAAAAAGTCAAAAAAGTTCAAGACAAACACAATTAGACTTTATATATTATATTTTATGTTATTGTTTTTTCTTGAACTTTTTTGAATTCATCATGTCATGGAGGACTGAGAATCTTCACCAGCTTTTAATAATCGGTTTGCCATAGTCTCCCCGCTTTGATTCTGCTTACTGCTTGTACCGACCGTCAAACCAGCTGCACCGCCCCAGCAAAATGCAGCTAATTTGACCATTAAAGTGCATTTTTAAGGAAACGTTAAACTGAGACACACCTTTGATATAATTTCGAGCAAAGAAACAATTGTTTTAGGTGCTTTTCTTGTGAAATTTTTCAAGAAACGAGACGCGTTCCTCCTTCCTGATTTCCTCCCTGTCTGTGCACTCCCGGACCACCGAGGCAGCAAAACTATTTTTGAAATTCAGCTGATTTGACCATTAAAGTGCATTTTTTAAGCAAATGTTACACTGAGACACACCTTTGCTATAATTTCGCCAAAACAAACAACTGATTTTAGGTGTTCATCTTGTTAAATTTGCACAGTGATTTGTCGTGTGCATGCGTTTACTTCTGCATATCGGGTTTTGAAATACAGCTGATTTGACCGTCAAAGTGCATTTATTAAGCAAAAGTTAGAGTGAGATACACCTTTCCTATAATTTCAAGCAAACAAATAATTGTTTTTAAGTGTTAATCTTGTTAAATTCTTGTTAATGTCCTTCTATTTTAACGAGTATCCGGTAAACCTTAGATAGTAATTTGGGAGGGTTAAGATTAAGGAGTTCTAATACACTTGTTGGTATTTCAATCCTAGTGTTATTAAGGTTAAATTTTATCAGGCCCACAGGTGAGCTAAGTTCGGTCCACCAATGGGTTCACTTTTTTTTAAACAAAACTAGAGTTTTAACTATAAAACAAAGTAACTTAATGATAAGAACTACTGGATATCTGACCCCTGAGCGCTTGGCTTTCAGTAACTGTGGCCCCCTGGGCAGTTTAGTTGAATAGTCCTGGTTTAATGCTTGTAACACTGGAGGTAAATTAACTGGCATTTGTAAATAAAATGTAAAGCACAGCTTGGTAAGGTGTCTGATCTGCTGAAGGTGAACGGTGTCACAGCTATTCTTTTTTTTCTTCTTCTTTTCCTTTTTCCTTTGTTTAAATTATTTTCTCCATTACGTTTGTCTGTTACCACATCACTTCATCATTCTTTTTTATTCTTTACCACTGTTAAGATATTTTTAATCTAGACTGGTCCTATAGTTTTGATCTGCCCAGAGATGGGATTATAATGAAATTATGACCCGGTTCTGACTGGGTTAAACTGGGCCAGCAAACTATTAAGAGAGTCTCCTTGGGATTCAATATCTGTCACGGAATAGAGTTTGATCTGCTTGCTACATCACAAAGAGGCTTTGAAACACCGCCTCATATTTCCTAACACGTCAGTCCACACAAGACCACACTTAGCCACGCCCCTCATACACTGATAGGCTGAGCTCCCCTTCTGCAAAGGAGGAGTCATAGGACCCCATAAATTAGTGATGACACGGGACTTCGAGGCTCTTCCGGGTCTGTGAACGTGTCAAAGTCCGGAGAGTCCAGCGTTGTAAAACTGTAATCTTTTCCTGCCTTTTTTAATATAATTGATAAAACTTAATTGATGTCTCATTGATTTATTGATAATATGAGTTGCCACTTCTGAGAGAGATAGAACCAGAGGAAGCGGTGGGGGCTGGCTGAGGGTCCAGGGTCAGAGAGGGAGCCTGAGGCCCACAGCTAGCCGTAGCTAGCTGCAGTGACTGACGACCCGCAGTCAGCTCCCAAAAAGCAACACCACCCAACAAACATTTACACACAAGCACACCAAAACACACACGCACGCACGCACGCACACACACACACACACACACAACAGAGAACTTTATATCTTTCAGCTTCTCTCACACCTAGCATCTACTCAATATTCTTGTATCGTTCCACTTCAAACATCACTGTGTGTTTCTAAACATCTAAACAGGCAACCTCAAGCAATAACTGATTTTAGTTGGATCTGTTTGTTGTCTGTATGTTGACATGGAACCAGTACTCAACAAAAAAGATTAGGAATTTTAAACCAGCTTAAAAGACTGCAGTCTACTAACCAGACTCCCCTATCATGAGAAAAAGAAATAGACTTGATGTTCCCTCACCCAGACATGGGTCACCGGGGCCCCACTCTAGAGCAAGGCCTGGAGGTGGGGCACGCGGGCGAGCGCCTGGTGGCCGGGCTTTTACCCGTGGAGCTCGGCTGGGCACAGCCCGAAGAGGAGACGTCGATCCCCCTTCACATTGGCTCACCACCTGTGGGAGGGCCCAAAGGGGTCGGGTACAATATGGGATGGATGGTGGCCGAGGGTGGGGACCCTGGCGGTCTGATCCTTGGCTACAGAAGCTGGCTATTGGGACGTGGATTGTCACTTCACTGGTGGGGAAGGAGCCTGAGCTGGTGTGTGAGGTTAAATGGTAAATGGACTGTATTTATATAGCACCTTTCTATCTTATGGAAATACTCAAAGCACTTTACACTACAATCTGTGTCCTCATTTACCCAGTCATACAGCACTCTACTACTTTGTAGATCTCTACAAAGCTAATTGAACAAATCATTCTAAAGAGACTAATCAGAGCTTTATCACATTCATACACCGATGGGACACACATCGGAGGAAACTAGGGGTTCAGCGTCTTGCCCAGGGACACTTCGGCATGTGACTGCTGGTGGATTCGAACCCCCAACTCTTGCATTGGAGGACGACTGCTCTAACCACTCAGCCACAGCCGCCCCCAAAGGTTGAGAGGTTCCGGCTAGAAATAGTCGGACTCACCTCTACGCATGGCTCTATTGGGTGTTTTTGGCCTGTGGGACATTGGAAGCAGCTGATGGGTATAGGCAGTCCAAGCGACATGTGGCTCGGGTGGTTGCTGACGCAAAAACTCAGGCATGGGAGGAGTTCAGAGAGGCCATGGAGAATGACTTCTGCATGGCTTTGAGGCGATTCTGGTCCACCATCCGGCGTCTCGGGGGGGGGGGGGGGGGGGTATACCACCAACACTGTTTATAGTGGGGGTGGTGTGCTACTGACTTCAACTCGGGATGTCGTGGGTCAGTGGGCAGAATATTTTGAAGACCTCTTCAATCCTACCGGCACGTCTTTCACTGAGGAAGCGGAGCCTGGGGACTCTGGGTCCCAGGCTCCGGGCCCTCCAATTTCTGGTGCTGAGGTCATCGAGGTTGTTAAAAAACTCCTTGGTGGCAGGGCCCCAGGGGTGAATGAGATTTGCCTGGAGTTCCTTAAGGCTCTGGATGCTGTAGGGTTGTGTTGGCTTACGCGACTCTGCAATATTGCGTGGACATCGGGGGAAGTTCCCCTGGATTGGCAGACCGGGGTGGTGGTCTCCCTATTCAAAAAGGGGGACCATAGAGTGTGTTCCAAATACAGGTGGATCACGCTCTTAAGTCTCCCTGATAAGGTCTATTCGGGGGTTGTGGAGAGGAGGGTCCGTCGTATAGTTGAACCTTGGATTCAGGAGGAGCAGTGCAGTTTTCATCCTGGTCGTGGAACACTGGACCAGTTCTACACTCTCAGCAAGGTCCTGGAAGGTGCGTTTGCCCAACCGGTCTACATGTGCTTTGTGGACTTGGAGAAGGCGTTCGACCGCGTCCCTCGGGGACCCCTATGGGGGTTACTCTGGGAGTATGGGTACCCGGCCCTTTGATATGGGCTGTTAGGTCCCTGTATGACCGGTGTCAGAGCCTGGTCCGATATTGCCGACAGTAAGTCAGGCTTGTTTCCGGTGAGAGTTGGACTCCGCCAAGGTTGCCCTTTGTCACCGATTCTGTTCTTAACTTTTATGGACAGAATTTCTAGGC